ACACACACACACACACACACACACACACACACACACACACACACACAGCACGACAGCTACACCTGTGAACAGAATGATACAAGAAGTAGAAACATTCTCACAACGTTCTAAAGGGTCCCAACACAGCAGCTACCCCAAACTCCAACAATAATCTGAGAATGAAAAAGTATTTTATTTTGATGTTTGATCTGAATGAAAAGAGACTGAAAAATCCAACAAAGTTAAATCAGGTCCTCTGGACGGTCTCTTTTTGTTGAATCATTTCATATTTCATCCAAAAGACTTCTTCAGTCCGAGGAGCTGCAACAAATTCAGTCTTATAAATAGCACCTTCACATAGTGGGTCAACCAGTTTGATGAAGCTCAGATGGTTTCTGGAGTAGAGCTGTCATTTCTAACCCAGGCCTGAAGCCAAGCCCGACCAGAATTTGGGGCAGGTCAGTTTATTGTAATGTGCTGGCTGGGCGACCGGGTCGATGTCGCACCTTTGATTGCGTCAGTGGATCAGCCGCGACCCAATTATATGGCAACATGGTTTGCCATTTAATCATCAGCCGCACGCATTCATTTCACCATGAACTGACAGGCCTTGAAAGAGTTAAAATAAAGTTCAGTTAATCTTCAGATGGTCCATTGCCAGCGATCCATCGCCCAAATGGACGTTCATTCAGCCGCAGCACTCAACAGCCGACGACCCAAACAGGTGACATCACAAAGCCGACATGTCAGAGAGGGATTTAATGCTTTGACAGCCATGAAAGGACAAACACCCCCTCAAGCTCCGATCTTCTGCCCCTTTAGCCGCGCGCATCCGCCGACCGTTAATAACTATATAAGCAGTCAAAGTTTAATAAAAAATGTTGTGTGTGTGTGTGTGGGGGGGGGGGGGGGGTCGGGTTTAGACCTGTAATTGTATGTGAATGTTCCTGTAAAGTGTCCTGAGACAACTTTGTTGTGATTTGGCGCTATATAAATAAACTGAATTGAATTGAATTGTAATTACTGTTAATTTGTCGAGTCGGGTGGGGTTCAGAAATTATGGCTATGGACTGGGGCCGGGTCGGGTCGGCTAGTTTGGGCCCAAATGCAACTCTATTCTGGAGTCCGCCCTCTCCCCCGCCGGCTCGTTTCAGGCAATCATGGTCAAAGTGGTTGAAAACATCTTGATTCATGCAGACTCTTGAACTGATGAAGTCCTCTGGATAAAAGATGAAGCGTTTCAACAAAACGAAACTGTCCAGAGGACCTGACTCAACTTTGGTGGATTTTTTTATCTGGATTATTGAGCATGAACCAGGAGGTTTTGAACCACTTTGGTCATGACTGCCTCAAATGAGTCTGCAGGGGAAAGGGTGGACTCCACATACCATCTGAGCACCATCAAACTGGTTAACTCACCATGTGAAGGTGCTATTTATAAGACTGAGTTTGTTGTGGCTCCTCGGACTGATGAAGTCTTTTGGATGAAAGATGAAACGTTTCAACAAAAAGAAACTGTCCAGAGGACCTGACTGAACTTTGTTGGATGATTGAAAAAGATCAAAAGTAATGTTAAAGCTGCTGCCAGTGGCTCTTTATGGTCACCATGGCAACCACATCTGTGTGTCTCACTCCCTGATTGCGTGTTAATGAGAGGCAGAGAAGAACAGACTGAAAATGAAGCCTCCAACAGTCACTGTGTGAAAACAGTAAGGTTTGCCTTTAAAAATCTTGCAACAGAAAGTTCACATTATTTTTTTGTGTTTTCAGAGTTCTGTGTAGGACAAGTGAAGAGACCTTTCATTTACAGTCTGAGCTGTAATATAATTGACATCTGTTGAAGCTCAGGTGTGCACTCTCTGCATTCTGGGTGATTTTGAGAGAAAATGGCTGAAAAATATAAATACGGTGAATAAAGACAAACATTTCCATTGATCTCCTTTAGCTGATCAAGTTTTCTGACTGCGCTGTGCGACATACTTCTACCAAACGCCACGTCACACTATTCTCATCAAGCTTTATGCTTTGATGCATCATGTTTTATTTAAAAGCTGTGTGATGAATCGTAGGACAAACAAATTACAACAAACATGCACGTACAGTCAAGTAGAACTTGTATGAATCCTACCGTGCATGTGCAGTTCCTGCAGCCATCTGTCCAGCCCTCGTCCTCCCGGTAGACGACCCCCTTGACGCTGCAGGTTCGCTCACAATAGCAGCCATCCAGTCCATTCATCTTCTCCTCAGCCCTGGACAGCTGCTCACCAAATTGGCCCGGTCCAAAAAAGAATTGAAAATAGAGCCGAGAAAGGAGACAGATTCAAGTCAGCTTTAATCTGTGTCTTTATTCACACAGACATCGGAGCCACACAAAGCTCGGCCGCTAGATTTTATTAACACCTTTCACACGTTTTTACATCAGAAGCGAAAATGTTTCAATGAAGGCTTAAGAACTCCACAAAGTGGATATTTCACGCCGTCTGGGCAGTTTTTTTTATTTCATTTACAGCTTTAAGTACTCTCATTTTCAGGGTGATGGTAAAATTTAGGGGAGAAATAAATGTTTCTTGTTCAAACACGTTACCTTGCTTGAAGTCTTGGCGAGGACATCCTGCAGTTCCATGATTTTCTGCACAAGTCCATGGAAGTCATTGCAGGTCGGACATGCTGGGATGCAAACAACGACATACAGTCAGCATATGATCAAATACCAAGAATAGGAGGATTGTGAAACTGTCCTATTAAAATCATTGCAAATAAAAATGTTCATAACAGCATTTGCAAAACAGTTTAATGCCATCAGTTTTCCATTTATATAGAATTCTACAGATATTTTCAAGCACAAAAAGTGTCAACAACTAGTTTAAGCCTTTCCAATGCAGCCTTGAGGTCTTCCAGAGCAAATGTTACATTTTTGTAAAAATTAGAAAGTTGTAAAAGTTTAATAAACAATGTTTGAATGTACAGCTGGGATCATTTTGAGACTGAACATGTTTTAAGACAGCTGTAACACTTTTGGTCGGGCTCAAACTACCTGTTCCCTCAGTCCAGTCAGAATTAAAATACAATAATTCCTCGTTTATCGCAGGGAATCCGTACCCTGAAGCCCCGCGATAAGTGAAAAACTGCAAAGTAGGAATAGTAGTGCAAGTAGTAAGTAGTAGTTTAATTTAGTATATATAGTATATATATATGCAGCACGGTGGCGCAACTGGTAGAGCTGCTGCCTCTCAACGAGCAGGTCCCTGGTTCAAACCCCGGTCCAGGGGCCTTTCTGGGTGGAGTTTGCATGTTCTCTCCATGTATGCGTGGGTTTTTTCCGGGTACTCCAGTTTCCTCCCACAGACCAAAAACATGCATGTTAGACTGACTGGTAACTCTAAATTGTCCCTAGGTGTGAGTGAGAGAGTGAATGTTTGTTTGTCTTGTTTGTCTCTATGTGTCCCTGTGATGGACTGGAGACCCGTCCAGGGTGTACCCCACCCCTCGCACAGTGATTGCTGGACATGGACACCGGCGACCCCTGTGACCCAAAAATGGAATAAGCGGGTAAAGAAAATAGATGGATGGATGGATAGTATATATATATATATATATATATATATATATATATATATATATATATATATATGTATATACTTTTTTTCTTCTTTCCGCTGCTCCCTGTGTTAGGGGTCGCCACAGCGAACTAAGTTCCACGAAGACTTGGCAATTATTTTTACGCCGGATGCCCTTCCTGATGCAACCACAGACACCGAGCTACCGCTGCCTCTGTGTGGAGCAGAGAGCTGCTATCTAGGACACCTGGAGGAGCAGATGGTGGGGGTTAAGGGCCTGGCTCAAGGGCCCAGAGTGGGACAAATGAGGGTGGGGGTAGGTGTGGGTGCTTCACCTACCCCACCACATTTTTGATGTTATCGGTACCAGGGCTTGAACCGGCGGTCTTCCGATCACAGGCCCACCTTCTCTAACCTCTGCACCACTACTCCTCTGATATATATATATATACATATATATGTATATATATATATATATATATATA